CACTTAACCCCGGGTTATCATTGTCCTAAACCCCACTATTTATAGGGATGTGAATAGTCACTGGTCTCACGATTCAATTCGATTACTATTATCATGTCAACGATTCGATTCGATTTGATATCACAATGCATCACGAGGCGTTGCATTCTCACTTTTCAATATTACTGCACATACATTTTCATCAATGAATACAAGCAGACAGATATATAAACTCCCTTTTTATTTTATATGCTCCAAGAAAGTACACTTCCTGAATGTAGCAAACAACAAACAAAACTTAAGTCTGAACACAGCAGACGACAGTGTATGCTAAAAGCACATGAAACTGTTACAATATGTTACAATAACACTCACACACACTTGCACTCGAAAAATAGTGGGTGCATTTTTTATTACTCTCTTTTTTTTCTCTCCTCCTTCCGCCATTTTACGCTTCTCGCGCTTATGTGACGAATGACGTCAGTAGGCTATTATCGATTAGGGTCCATTACTGCATACGTGCACGATTCTGCATTGATGCAGTAATAGACCCTAATCGATTATGCAACGATTCATTTCAACACCCCTACAATTTACCTTAGGTAAAGGAACGGACCGAATCCGATACTACCTGAAGGAGATGGTATCTAATGGCTCGTTTCCACTGAGCGGTACGGTACGGTTCGGGTCGGTAAACCATGATCCGGCTAGCGTTTCCACCGCCAACAGTACCCTTACTTGATAGGCGTGGTGTTTGCCGGAAAGAAGCGATCGACGTCATTTTCGCGCGAAGAAGAAAGTGACATAGTAAAGCGACATAGTAAACAACAATGGATGACATACTGCAGATCTTGTTCTTGCTTCTCAGCATGTTTGTCACAAGAAACAAGCGCCGGCATTAGGCGTTTCTCAATACCAAGTAGCAAAGTCCGACTCAGGAGAATGACTCCCGAGGACGCGAGTCCAGTAATTCTGCTAATGGAACAGCGCGTTCTTGAAAGCGCCACTTAGCTCGCTCTGCTACTCCGGTTATCTCTGTATGTACATTTTAGGCAACAATAAAACGAAATATGTTATAAAACACCACTCTGCTTCTTTTCGATTTCATTTAAATACATTTTAAACATTATAAGCACACAAATGTGGTTCAGGCAACGCATAGCCGATTGATTTTATTCACTGCATGCATGTAGCCTATATTTATAACAAAACTAAATATAAAACACAACCCTGCCTCTTTTCGTTTAAATTTAAAAATATTAAACATATTCCAGGCAATATGTGCATTGGTACAAATGTTGCAATAAACAACATTACAGATGGTCTTGTAATAAAATAAAAAGTGACAAAACTCAACCCTATCTCTTTTTGTTAAATTTCAGTTTGATCAATAATAGCCATTATAAAAGTATAAGTAAAAGGTACAAAAAGCTATACAGTAAAGCTTTAATAACATAAAGCAAACAATTCAGTCAAATATACAAATTCAGCGCTCAAATATATGAAACTTCACTTAGCCTTCTGCCAAAACTATTGGCCAGGGAACGAATTATAGATTCACGAGACCAAAGATCGCCTGTTAGGTCTATACAAGACGAATTATATCTCATGTTTAACCACTACAGAGGCGTCAGAGTCAGCGGCAAACATCAGAACGACTAGCCGAGGAAAGGCTGTTCCAGGCGGGGTACTTGAGCGCTGAGCGCCCGGTGATTGCTTGGAATGGATCTCAGTCAAATTATCATAAATCTATAAATAAACCACAGATTTGAGCTTTAAAAAACGACATTCTCGCCTGAAAAACTCTTAAAACTACATTTCGTGACACAATAACCTTGTAGCACGCGCAAGTGACGATACTCTGTCAACCAATCAACGTTCTGCAGTGAGTCTAGCTCCACCTTTTAGTACCGTGCCACTGTGCTAGGTACCCCAACGGAAGGGTACCCAAAAAGTGGTACGGTACGGTTCGGCTTTTTGGTACCATTCACAACTTTTGACAGTGGAAACGCAAATAAGTGCGTACCGTACCGTACCGTACCGTACCGCTCAGTGGAAACGAGCCATTAGATCGTTTGTACTCGAACTGTGGCTCGAAGTGAAAGCAACACGGACTTGGGTGCACACTTGTTCAGGAAGTAAAGTAACCTGCGCATGTGTTTTAGCCAATGAAAATGTATTCAGTTTAATAAAACACATGTAAGGGACAATAGTGTTGATGATTTACCTGAATGAAAACAAACATAACATTCCAAGTAAAATAGTTTTGAACTTTATTACAATAACAAAGAAAAAAAACGGAACCATGAAAATGTACTGTACTTTTTAAATGAAATATATAAATACAAGTTCTGTCATGAAACTCACCACCAGCTGCACACTGGTGGTGGATCGAGGAGAGATCCCCGGACATGATTGTAAAGCGCTTTGGGTGTACAGTTGTACGTATGAAAGCGCTATATAAATGCCTCATTCATTCAAACTCTAGATGGTTTAGGCTGATAGGACCTTAACTCAATCTGCTTGCTATCACATCATTCTCTGTACGGTACCACTGATTGGTTCCTGCTGTATCAGTAGCCAATGAGCTCGTTGCTCAACCTTCAAATGCTTGGTCAGCATTTGCTGTAGCAGTTGCAGCGCTTCAGAAACCCTCCTCCTTCCCCAGCTCCACTTGTATAGAACTGCTAATTCATGTATAGAACAGGTAATTGATGTATGCTATATTGTACAGCAGCAGCAGCAGCATGTCTTACTTGCTCACAGCAGCGTGTCGTGTGTGTAATAACAGTAGCAAGTCCCGGAGCAGCAGCAGCAATAATCAAAAGCAGCGTATCAGATCTATTCCACCAAGACCAAAAATCAACATTGTCATATCCATTACCATGTCAAACACTCCTTGAGATGTCATGAAATAAATATTAATATTAATATTAAATATTAATATATGAATTGTACCTTGATCATTCATGTTTAGTTCATAGTGCATTAACTAAAGTTAACAGATACAACTTTAAAATGTAAAAGTGTATTAGTAAATGTTGAAATTAGGAAATTTCTAGCAAGGAACAATACTTTTTTTAACATGTTAGAAATGGATTCTTATTGTGAAGTGTTACCATTTCATATAAATCCAAACAGTCATGCTTAAAGAGGCCAGGCATTGACACCATGGCAATCTTTAAATATCTACACAAAGGCCATAGTATTGAAAATAGACACATATGTATACTGTATGTACTATACTCTCACATGTCTGAACAATGGTTTTCTATTCAAAATAACAACATATGTATTACATAGATGATAAAAAAGAACTGATTTTGAACGCGTTTCTGATTTGTTTATATGTTTTTGGACCATACAATATGCTTTCTCATGTCACTAGCATTAAATGTGCAACTTCGCTGGTTAACGAATGCATAAAATTGACCAGCTGGATATAAATTAATGCAAATAGAGGGTAACAATCGTGACATTAATCATTCGGGTCAGACTTGCGTGTATTTTTGTCACATTGTTTTAACCGCTTGAGGAACTACTGATGTTTGTGTCCTTTCAGACTTGACAGCAAACATACTGCTGTTCTGTCTCTACTAATCCAGCATTTAGTCAACAAATTAATGAATTTGTAACGATACGAAAACATGTACTGTACACATGCCGTTTCGTTTTTCTATGTTTTAAATCCACACCTGCGGTGTCCTGCTCACGTCTCACGTGTCAAAACAAACTCCACAAGGTGTCAGTGATTTGGCCTCTAGAGGCCGCTGTTGTACTTATATTCTAGCAAGGGACCAACCCAGAAAAACTATCGGTATATTTTTTGCTGGAACTATCGGTTATTGGTGCCGATTAATCTGCAAAACCGATCAATCAATCGACCTCTAATCAAGATAGCCCAGGTCTCCGTTTACCCGGGGTTTAGAATGACCCAGGGTTAACTTTCTCAAGTGTGAATGTTTTAAGAGTGAGTTTGGTTGCCACTCCAGTTGATAACTGAACTCTAGAACAAGATAAAGTGTCTAGACAACCATATTTAACATGAATGAGTATGTGGCCCTTTGTAGGAACATAGACTGTTTTGCTCCAGCTTTATTTGGACTGGGTTTGATATGTGTTAAAGGTCAACCTAGCACAAATTGGAAGAAGAGTCACAGGTCAAAGCTTAGAGATGACCTCCATCACAGCTCGTTATGTTTGGCAGAAGCGTGTGTGTGTGTGTGTGTGTGTGTTTCACAGATTTACTGGTTGATTGGTTATCCAGAAGCCTCAGTAAGAGGGAGCCGTGTTCATTTGTTTGACCTCTTTCTCATTGTTTTGCTTGTTTATTAGTTTTAGTGTGCTCTCTCTCTCTCTCTTTTCTTGAAGTGTTTGGATTGTTCCGATCTGCACAGCCAGTTCTGCATTTTTATTGTAGTACCATTAACTGCAGAAACAATGGTATTGTAGTGGTGTTTTTGTCGCTCTAGTTTAAATGTTAATCAACCATGCATTTTTATTTGAATTGAGCTGTCAATCAAATCACAAGTATGAAATAATGTCTGTTTGAAATAGCATACAATCTCACTACTATGTATACTATTTTTGTAGTATGCACAGTATGCAGACTGTCTGTTTTTGTAGTATGCATAGTATGCAGACTGTCTTGGACTGGAATACTGTATCCCACAATGCAATGTACTTAACCTGCGATCTTTAATAGGATTTTTAACATAATTTGATCAGCCTGCCAAAAGTTAAGACGTTTTTACACACACACACACACACACACACACACACACAAATAAGTTTTATACCGCACAGTGTGTAGGACACAGTATGCTAGTATTCCATGCAACTGGTGTGTTTGGTTAAAAAGGCAAAGGGAGGGGGATTTGAAAATACGGGTGCGTGGTCTTAAAGTGGGGGCGGGGTTTGGCCCAACTACACTGAGGCTACTGTGTGTAAGACTGTGAATAATCCCCTCCCCTCCCTCTCTCTCTCTCCCTCCCTCCCTCTCTCTCTCTCTCGCTGGGCAGTCAGTGTGAAGCTGTGATTGAGACTGCTGTGGGGTGTGCAGTTTCTCACATTCTGTAGAGGAAACACACACACACACACACACTCAAGAGTGTGTTGAGCAGACAGCTGAGGGATTCACTCGCTCCCTGCCTGGAGTTGCAGACACGGAAGATGGATCTCTTGAGGACTTGCTTGCGTTGGGTCTGCGTGCTGGTCATTGGACTTCTGGGACTCGTGGAGGAGAGCTTGGGTGAGTGTCAACCTTCAGAAAATTTACGGACTGCGCGTTTCTAATGCAGGATTTGTAACGCAGCTGGTCTCTGCTCTACGGATCGCCACACACATTCACATTCACTCAGATGTTGCTCTGGATATTTTAATTGAGTTCTCAGTGGTTTCATCTAAGTATCAAGATGTTTCTCCTAAAATTCCTTGGGAGAAATACAAATAGATGAGTCAGTAGTCAACAGTACAGTAAGAGTATAGAGCTATAAAATGAGTATGGATGGCAGATAATTTGTTCTTGAGAAATACTTGAGTTCATATTGAGATCTCTGATTGTTCATTGCAGACTTTGGTGTCTTGGCATGATTGAGCACATTATTAAGATCTCTTTTGGGAGTTTATAGGAGAGTCTTTTTCTTTGGAGAAAGGTTACTTCAGTAAAAGTTTCCATTTAGTCTCAGTGGTATCTCGGGGCAATCAAATATGCAATATTGGGGAGAGGAACGAACATAAAAGTTTAAGAATAGGTCATTGACATGTCCTCGGTAATGTCTATGATGGTTACAGCTCTGTCTAGGAGAAATGATTGAGATTAAAGAGATTTTCTTTCCTATGAAGCATGTTTTAATTCTTTGTTAGTGTGTATATGTGCTTTATGGTGTTCTGTATGTTGGCTTATTCAAACCTCATAGATGGTGTACCAAATGGTGAGCCAGGTGTTGCTGTGTGTGTTTCTCGTTTTGTAGTGCTGTACCAGCCTCTCAGCTGCCTAACACTTGTTTTACACACAGTTGGAGGTCCAGCTTTGAAATCACTCAGTGTTTAATTTATACAACAGACTCCCTTTCTCTCGAACACTTGTTTTGTGTGTGTGTGTGTGTTTTCTAGGCAGACCTTGTTTTTTTGTTCTATTAATATTCAATAACTTTGCCTTCCAGCAATAGGTTTAATTGCGTATTGAAGGAATCTAATTTTTGTATTTGCTGTAATAAATGTTTTATTTTATTTAATGATATATTTTATTGATATTAATATAATATTTATTTATTTAATAAATTCAATAATGTAAATAATTAAATTTTAATATTAATAATATAATCAATAATATAAACATTTAATAAATATAACATTGGTGTTTAAATTACTATTTTTTTTTTAATCGGAATTTATAATATAAATTAAATCATTAAATTAAACAGAATTTTATAACTTACATTTTATTAAATTATGTAGCATTTAATATTTTAATTTGATGATTAAATTATAAATATTATTTAAACAAAAATATATATAATTTAATTATGTTTATCTAATGTCTTTTAGCCATTTATAAGTGTGATTTAAGTGTCCAAATTTTCCTTGGAGCCACTGTATTTTAGTAAAATTTGACCTTAGCTAACTTTTACTAACCTTAACTTAACTTTATCTAAGCTAGTGAAGGAAATTGACTTGACTGCTCATATCCTCTTTGTGTTAGCCTGTGTGCACTCACTCTGTCTCTTTCTCCTCCTGAGCGGTTAAGTGAAAGTGAAGCCATTCCCATCATTTCCCATCCCATAATAACCCTAAGACACGGTCCAGACCTGTCTCCCAACACCCAGACGCACAATGAACTCATCTGCTGTCCACCGAAAGCAGAGGAGCCTGCAGTGTCTCTGTCAGACTTTATTTACAGCCCACAGCATCTCACCCTCTCCATCACTCCTGCACGTCACTCCCACTGCCGCCAAACAAACTCACGCATGTCCAACGGTGTGTGTGTCTATGATGAGTACGTCCTGTCTGCCCTTTTGACAAGGCCTTCGCATGTTTGTGTGTGTTTGGATGCAGGTCTACTGCTTGTGGAATATATAAACTACTAGGGGTGCACGATTCATTTCATGATATGGCTTAGTGCAATTATCAAATCCATTTAATTAAATAAGTATATGTGCTGCTTGTTTCAGAGTAAAGCGCAGCACTGTGTTCTTTTACAGCTTGTGAGCCGGTGTTTTTGGTGTCTGCTCGGTTCACAGTGAATGCTGCTCCACACAAACTCAACTTTGCATGTGTTTTGTGTTTGGGTCGCGTGTAACGTGCATTTGGGATCATCCGCCAACCATCTTCCCAAACTTGTAATGAGAAGCACTTTATGTCAGCCACAAATATTAGTATTGTAATTTAACAGTTGTGCTGTTGTAAAATAGAAGTATTATAACAAATATTATTATTAAATACTTGATTTTCTGTTTTACAGTGAAATATTACAATAGTAATTATTATGTGTTGCTAAATGTTTTCATATTTCATATAATAGTAACTTATTTAGTAGTAGTGAATTTATTATTATTATTCTTATTATTATGTAGTCATATTGATATATTATTGCATAATTTTTGGCCAAATTGTGCAGCATGATTGACTGATTTGATTTTGACTTTGACTGATGACTCCCACACTTTATTTGAATGTCCGTCATCACAGATAAGATCACCGGTTGACGCCAAAAGACGTATTACACCACCATGACTCGTTGAGAAACAATGTAAGAGCTTGCACAAAAAAGAAAACAAAACACCAAAACGAATTTACCTTGAAATAAACATACATCAAAACCAAATAAGTAAGGTTAATGACTTAAACATACCATAAACATCATACCTAAACATCATACAAAACAACAACAAACAAGTAATCTTGATACAAAGAAGACAAATCAAAACAACAACATAATGATAACAGGAAGTCCATAACCGTACCTTGTTCTCCATTTTAACCAGGAGCTAAATCCTTTTAAACTCCTTGCAAACCGTAAACCTTTGACGTCACGACCATGTATGTCTGGATCTCGTTCCGCACAATATATCCGCTCACGCGAGTGAACGTCAAAATAAAAGACCTCCATTACCATAACACAAATAAAACCCAAGATCAGAAAATGAAATGCCATACAAAAATAAACAACAAATAAATTGTTTAAAGGGATACTTCAGGATTTAGCATTAAGCTTTTTATTAGTAAAAACCTGTAGTATTTTCAAATTACCGTGCTTTCCACCCTCATATGCCCCTGAGACGAGAGATTTATGTATTTTTTGTCTGGAAAAAATCCTCCGATGACGCAAATATCGTCATTTTGCATCATCAGAGGATTTTTTGGCCAGAGGCTAAAGACTACAGTCAGTAGTAGAGGCTGTCCCGCATGTTCTCACCCGCCCATAGAGGGTGGGATCTCACTCACAGAATGTACACATAGTGTCAGCCATCTTTTTTTGGAAGCTAAGCTAGCAGGCTCTTGTTCTGTGGAGAAAGCGGAGTAGTAGGGGTTACCATCCTCTTTTTCCCGGACATGTCCGGCCGTCGATGTCCGGGATTCATCTGCAGTCGCCATTCATTGTTTACATGCACACCTTTTGTTTCAATCTAACTGAATTCATTCCGATTGGTGAATCTGAATGTAATGTTTAGATGAACGCTAAAGAAGTGATCGGTTGATGTGCGTTTTAACATTGCTAAGAAAATTCCTGCTCCTCCGTGAGAGATACGAGACCGGTGCATCTCACAGGTGTCGCTCATCGGTAATCACGCCACCGGCCTCGCGCCATTCTCCCGCGGCCCTCACTCGTCCTGCTCGCCACAGTAAACATAATGAATGGCGACTGTAGAACGCAAAAGCCGAATCCCGGACATTTTGGACGATCTCATCACGGAGACTCACTAGTGGCCTAGACTTGTTGTTTAACTACTGCGCTCTATTACCGGTAGGCGTGGCCTCCTAGGGCAGCGAAGCAAGTGCATTCTGGGAGTTGTTGTCTTTCATCCACATAAGCCAAAAATACATTTTCTGGCTTTTCTCAGTCTAGAAAGCTCCAAATTCAAAAATAATTTCACATTTCTTCTACATAAATGACCCATTTTAAATACACAGTCATCTTTCCAGAGGTGAAGTATCCCTTTAAGGACTAGGGAAATATAAAACAAAGTCATTAACTATAAATAAGCACAGCAAACCTGAAGCTTTCTTTAAATTGCATTTTAAACTGCATTTTCCCCCTCAAATCTTGCAGCCCTTTTGCTGTTTTTGCATGGTTCCTAGCTTGTCATTTGTGCTCATTGGTCGGTCTAGATGATGGATGAGCAGGACTGCCTAGTAGGCCATCTTGGTCAAGTTGGTTAAGGTTGGTAGACCACCTCAGACTAGTTTCGCGTTGCCATCACAGCTTTCATTGGCCAAGGATCGTCCAAGAGGACATCTGACCCACATGCAAGACAAATAATCACAGTTCGTTTTGTTACGCGTCATATTAAGGGGTGTGAAAATATAACATTGATGTCCCTACGATAACAGACCAGTCTGCATCTAAGGCCCTGTTTACACGAAAACGATTCCGGGTGAAAACGTAATAATATTTTATCGGATGTGCCTTTCGTTTACACGGCGACGGTGTTTTGGGGGCTTAAAAACGCAAAAAAGGGAAACCACCCTCCAGAGTGGAAATCTTAAAAACGCTCCACCATCGCGTTTCCGTCTAAACGGGTAAAAACGCAAATCTGCTCATGGCGGCTCTCGTCGCGTACGCATTTACGTCACAGGCATGCGCCAGTACAGGAAAATAACAACCAACATGTCGAATTATTTCCATACGTCGGAAATAAGTTCAAGTTGCCCTAGCAGCTCTGATAAACGTCCAAGAGTCTTTTCAATTTCGCGCTACTAGGGAGAGAAGTAGAAGGAAGGTTGTACGCAGGCGCACGGACTTGTTGTTGTTGTGTGGCAGTGCTTCACATTGCCACCTAGCCGCCTGGAGTGCATACTACATCGCATTTCTAACACTTTTGCGTCTCCATATGCACGCAGATTTCCCCCCCATAACGCTCGTCTAAACGCAGAATAAAAAGTGAAAACGAAACGCCACTTTTGCGTTTTCTCTTCAGATCGTTTCCGTGTAAACATGGCCTAATACATTAATCATTTAAGAACGTTGTGCAAGTATACTGCTACAATGGAGCCGCGAACTTCACATAGCTACTTTTGAAACATCCAGCG